CCTGCCTCCTAAATGGATTACAACCCGACCATCTCGCGGCTCTTGCCGGCTCACGACACGCCCTCTCGCCGCCCCGCGCGCCAGGCAAATGCGCCCGTGACCCGCGCCTGCTGCCTGACACACTTGCGGCCGCGTCGAGCCGAGGTTCTGTTGCTAACATCGCAATAACTGCGCCCCGGCCGCTCAGCCGCGCTCAGCGCCGCAATTAGATGCAAAACAAAGAGCGTTCGCTTCCCGTATATCCGCCCTATCCTCCCCCTCCCCTCCCCTCCTCCTCCTCCTCCCTTCCTTGGCTGCGACGACGCGTGAATAGTGCCCCGTTTCTATCCATATACAAGTGGCGCTGTACTCGTTGTGCCTCTCATGTCAGAACTTATTGCCACTATAGGCGCCCATAAACACCCACATAACCGTAGCCAAGTAATTTACAAATAAACAAGTAAACGCCATGGCGCTGTATACTGCTTTTTTTTTTTTTTAAATATGGTTTTAATTAAACGTCAGTCGTGGATTTTACTCAACAGATCTCTTTTGAAGGTGCTTGCTCGACCTTACCTGACCGCCTGCTCGACGGAACTCATCGCATTCCATTGAGCAGGTCCGTTCGCTCCCATCCCTGTAAATGTCATAAGTCCACGACGGGGTTCGCCGCCCCCGCGCCTCCCAGCTCCGGCTCCAGATCCTGAATCATCTCCATGTCCAGCTCCAGCTCCATCTCCAGCTCCGGCTTCAGCTCCATCCTCAGCTATCCGGCTCCAAGCTCCAGCAGGCCGGGCCGCCCGCGCTCCGCACCCAGTGCCGACGGGAACACGTTTGTAACAGGTGTTTGAGGACCATTCGCTTTGGGCCCATAAAACACCGCGCAGCGAGCAGAGGAGTATAGAAGAACAACGCCGCCCGGCCGCGCCCGCGAAGTGGAGCCGGTCGCGGAGCGCAGAGGTCTGCGGTATGGTCGAGGCCGGCCCAGCAAACAAGAACGAGATGGGCTCCTCGTCGGCGGAGGCCGTGAACATTCTTGACATTGCCGTCCAGAGCAGAGCACAAGAGCCGGCGCCATTCCACCCCCCGAGCCCTCCCTCCGCCGCGCGCCGCCGGCACCGGCAAGGAGCGCTAACGGTCAGAGCGTCTCTCTGTCGGCTGACGGCCCCGCCCCGCCCCGCCCGCCTCACCCCGCCTCGCATCGGCCGCACCATTGGCACTATCACACTTTGATGGATCGAGGAGACGACCATTGATGGCTTTGTGTGTCGAGTTGCAGCCGCACCGCGGGCCGCGCGGGTCAAGACTCTCGACAAACAAGATGGCTGTCTTGGAGCGGTGGAGGTGGAGGAGTGAGTGGTGAGTGAGTGGAGAGTCTTGCAAGGGTTGCATCCGATCTGACTCGCGAATGTACCGGACGGGCCCTGATTCGGACGGGTTGCCACATTTCTCTCCTGAAGGCAACCTGGCCCCTAAGAGTACTTTAAACCCGCCAGCACCAAAACACCTGCTATGTATTCGCGAAGGGCATTGCATGTCTCACCTGCCCACAGAAAGAACGTGCGTCATTCGCCGTTACAAAATTGCCACGTTCATCCTGGCTGATAGCGCCTGGTGGGTAGGCAACATCTCGCCTGCTGTGCATGTGTGTACTACGGAGTGGCCTACCCCCAGTCTCGCAGGCGCCAAACTCCCATGATCTGAGAGAAACGGACGTACGCTCTGGACGATCCTACTGCCAGGTAAATGCTCCGGTAAATTAGTTTCACAGCATGCCGAACCCATTGCTTTTGTAACGATTTTAGCTCATGTGAAAATTTTGAAGTTAGTGATCGGCAAATCCACCCACACACCAAATGTTAATGCGAGTCGAATCAGCCATACCTGCTGTAGTTACTTTTGTTTCATCCCGATATGCGGCGATAGGTACGTTCAGTGAATTGCCCCTCTGGCTAAGCGACTCGAGCGGGAGGGCGCCGCCCCGTCGCGGTCACGGCCAAGGAAGGAGGCTGTGCTCTCGTACCGCCGGTATACTACAGCATACGGCCGGACCGAACCGGGCACGGCAGATCGCACGGCAGATACGCGAGCTGGACCGTGCTGGCGACCGCGGGAGCCTGCGGCCGGTTAGATCCTACCCCCTCCCCGCCCAACCCGCTCTTCTCGCCAGCAGTTAGCGCACGGTAACAGTAACAACCGTCGCCCGCCAGCTTTACCACTAAAGGAGCGGCAACATCACATTTACAGCAGACATTTTGTCCTTTTGCCCCGTTTTCTTTTCACCCCGTGTCTCCTGTGCCTGTATTGAGATACTACAGGGATGTTCAAAGGGAATAGTGACCGGCACGTATTTCATTTGAAAACAACTACTGTTTCAAGCGGTCACATAACAATTTTAGACAAACGGACAGCCTGGACGAAGGGACTGCGACTGCGACATGAGAACTAACAGTTTGCCTCTCCAAAGGGACATGCAGGAAAAGTTTAGTGGAGTTAGTGAGCTATTCTCCATACAACCGCTCACGGCGTCCTTTGCACGACGGCGACGTTGCCGTCTGTCACCGTCATCGCTCTTTGTGGTGCTTGACGCGTCGTAGACAAGCTCCGGGCTCAGGGCTTTCCCTCGGGGCTTCCGCTGAAATAACTTTACGCCATGGACACCAAGAGAACGGACTGCACGTTTCCCCATAGTAAAGAACTTTTGTAATTCAATCAGTGCGTCTGTAGCTCGAATGATCGTCGGAACGATCCACTGCTAAAGTCCCCAGAAGTTATTGTGACTTTTTACTTTAGCACCAGTACGACACGACAAGGGATGGCAGGTCAGGACCCGCAAGGAGCAAAGAGCTGCCTGCTTCCTTGCTTCGCGTTAGTTTCCCCTTCACGAGGGTCGTCGCCGTCTCGATCTCCCCACTCTCGTGCCCGTGCTCGTGCCAGGAAACTGCGAGGTATGAGAGATGACATGGCGAGGCACGCGAGAACTCACCTTCCAAAACAGTCCGGCGGGAGAGCAGTACATCCACGTGTGGGAGTGGCGGGCCGGCGCGGGGCGGCAGCAGCAGTGACACGACCCTCACCCGCACGACACACTTGATATCCGTATTGGCCTGACGCACACAAACACACTCGCACACGCGCGCGCGCACGCTGCCCAGCGGGCTGGTGCTGGTCGGGGCGCTCGCGGCCGGGGCTGCACCGGCACCTGACTGGGGGACGGGTCGCGGCAGACTGAGGCTGCGGAGGCCTCCGGCTGCGGTGGCTGCGCGCCCCGGACCGGCCGCCGCATGGGTGGGGGAGGTGTGGCCAGTCAGCAGCCGCGCCGGCTGCGTAGGCAGCCCGAGTGGCGTCCAAGTTCGAGGGGAAGCCTTCATGCACGGGTGTTCTTCATTCCGTTTTACTTCGGTCCGTATTCCCCGGGATTTTTGCATAACATAACGGTGCGTTCCAAAATCCCATTGAGTCTATAGCAGATGATACATTTAATGACCAGTTTTACCAACACTAAACTAATCTATTTTTTTAAGCTACGACTAGGTGGCGTTAAACATTGATTGATTTATTATTTTTGAAATTTATTTTTGTGGGAGGAGAGGGAAATGGTGAATGGAGACGGGGAGACCTTGGAAGACAACTTTAACAGCAAATGCCAAATCTCGCTAATTATGAATTGGAAAATTATTTCATTCACTTGCTTCTTCTACTACATTGTTGTCTATATGACATGCAAAAATGCATCAGGAACAGTGAGTCGAGAAGGGTTAGTACCCATTGACCTAGAAGGGAAAGGACTAAAAGGGGCAAAAAGAGAACATAGGTATTTATTTCTTAACAAATATTTATTTTAAAAGAATTTGAATTATAACATAGTGTTTGGACATTTTAGACAGGAGTCTCCCTGTACATCTTATGCCTACATATTCATTATCCATCCCTATACCATTTAAAAAAAATAAGAGAAATAAAAATAATTATACAATCTGCTGTTTAATTTTCAAAATGAGCTTAACCAGCTTAACTTACAATATAGGTATGCATATGCTGAACATTACCACACACACACACACATTCGTACAAGTAAAACTCACTCTCCAAAACAAATCAGTAAGATAGTTCATGTTCAGCACACTATCTCTCGTTTATACTATTTTTTCAGTGCCACATTACACTATCAGTGAAAGTATGGAAGAAGCATTATCCCTTATTCATGTAATAGCTTCGGATGTATGCTAATTTGTGCGTCATAAATTACTATCCTATATGGTTTACTGTTGTGAAAATTAAATGAATGGAATAACTAAAGGGTCAAGAACATTCGGACTCTAACTCAAGAACTGACTAGGTCAAAACAAAGCAACAACTAAAACCAGCAAAGACTAACTCTTTACGGCTCGGGAAGAAATAAGATGCCACAGTTCAACTTAATGTTGAAAAATGAACCTAATGTCCCCTGAGTATGCCATCAAATTAAATACATTGGCTTTGTATCCACATTTATATGCTTGAGACAGAGTTTGTGAGTGATCTAAGTATTATTAGTTACATTACCACAGGGAAAGATTAAGCACTTCACTGTTATAATTATCAATACTTCTGGATATAAACAACATGCATATGCATAATGTAACGGACAAGTTGTTTACATGGTACAAAATTAGTTTTAGACTCTTACGCTCCTATGTACACGAAAAATAAATAACACAGAGAATGGTCATGATTTCAGAAAGCTGACAATCAAATATCAGTAGCAGGGAAAGAGAAGCCTTCACTTCATTTCAACTGCAAGATGATGTCTCTATGCCATCCATGGGTTGCCACAAAGAACCCAGTCAGTAAGTAAAAATATTTTTTTATTTGTATTTAGAATGTGATGCAAAGAAGCTTGCATTGATTTTTAGTTACAATATATACATTTATATCATACATTTTGATAGGAATATACAAAGAGCTTCAAACCATGCAGATAGATAATTGTAGCTTGACACTATAATGACAGCCACCCTCGCTTTACTGTTGGTAGATCATTACCAATTTCCTAACTTTGTAAGACACTTTGAAAATCTCGGGTTGATGCCACAGTCATTGTAGTCTTTTGTAGTCTTTTTATTCCATTTATTCTTTTTTGCTTGCTTAGCAACTATTTGGCCGCAGTCCACTTTGGCATCAACCCTAAAAAAATATTAATTTTGTATCAAAATATTTTCTTTCAATATACAAGA